TCAAAACGAAATTTTTACACCTACACATTTCAAAAACAACTTTCAAAAACATTTGTTTGTCAACACTCTTGAGGACTGATACAAGAGTTATCACAAAGCGAATCGCCGCACTATGGTAATTTCAAAATATTTCTTCAAAACACACAAAGCACAAGGTACTTTTAAAATGAGCTAAGCATCTAAGAGCCCGTAGAAAAATACGGATGGAAAGGGTGCTAATACCTTACCTTTCCATAATCTACCCCCCTTACTCAGAAAATTCTTGAAAAGGTCTTTTCTGTTCTTTTCACCCTTTCCTTAATTTGGATAAAAGAAAAGTCGGTGGCGACTCTTACTTACCGCAACATTTGCAAACACAAACACAAACCAATATAATAGTCAGTTCTTTCACTGTATCACAGAGTCATAGTAGGATCACCAATACTATTGTGAGGTTCCTCTTGCAATGGGGCAACATAACCCTTCAGAGGACCATTTTGGGGTGAAACAACCGGCTGAAAATCATCAAATAATGAAGTCACCGTCGAACGTCTATCATCTCACATGTAGGGAAAGGTAAACATCGAGAAAACATGAGAAGGGAGAAGTCACGGTCTTGCGACCGAGAGATTGGGTAAGGGAGTCTGTTACGCGAGGGAAAAGTATTAGCACCCCACACACCCGTAGTACTCTATGGTATCCACTCTTGTTATCTATCTTATGGGTGTGTTTAATTTATGCTTACTGGCTAAAATAAAATGCAAAGAGGGAATTCATGCAAAAGAAAAGAGAAATCAATGTAGGGAAAATAAAAATTGGGCTCGTTCGGGCCCTACCCCAATGCCTACGTATCACTTTTAAGGAATCAGAGCAGCCGTAGTTCGGCTTCAAAAGTTTGTAGGTTTGTATTTTTTAATGAAAAATATTAATTTCGCCTTCTGCCGCAACTCGATCTTTGGAGACTTATGCATCAGCACAAAAGTGAATTAACATGTCCTTTTGAAAAAAATTGAAAGAAAAGCCCGAAGGCGCAAAAAGAGTTTGTGTTGGTTGGTATTTTTGCTGCAGATAATAGCTACTTAATCTCAAGAGAGTGATATTAGCCATTTCTCTACTTATTCATGAAATAAGTCTTTGAGACTTGAACCATATCAAGGCTTAGAATGAAAGGACGACGAGATTGAGAAGAAACCCGCTTATCATCTCTCATGCTTAACAAAGGTGTGATTCTCATCGGTAATTTTTAGGTGTTTTAAGGTTTGCAAGAAAAAGAAGTTTTTGTTTTAATGCAAAAATGCATAAGAAAGAAAAAACATCTAAGGAAGACTAACCTAAATCTATCCCTAATGTTATCATACAATGGTGGTCCTATGATTGAGTTTTGAAGGGAAATCTCTATGATGTGTTGACATGCATGAATAACAATCCTAATGTCTATCTCAAATCATCATCTATAGATGACTCAAGAAGTCCTAAAGGAGCATAGAAAGGGTTTATCGCCTAAAACTATGTCTATCTTGAATCATCATCTATGGTTGAATCGAGATCTCCTAAGGGAACATGCCGAGGGTAAATCATCTCAAAACATGCACGCGAGGACGAAATCAAGCAAGCGAGTCACCAAGATCAAGAGAGCACACACAATATGTCATGAGTAGCACATGCTAACTCAAGTCAAACTCCTAGCCACAATATTGAGGACCAAGGTAGGAAAACAGATCAAAAATTAAAAGGCTCAAGAGAGTGCACCTAGAGATATCTTATCTAGGCTAGCATGCCAAAGAAAGTCTAACAAAACTATCCTATGGGGAACATGCAATGAGGGCGAAGTCGTGATCTCAATTCCTAAATTGAGTGACTCATGGATAAACAACCAAGGAAAGCGATAAAATCCTATAGGGAGCATGCACTGAGAGCGAAGTCGTGATCTCAATTCCTAAATTGAGTGACTCATCGATCAACAATCAAGGAAACAAACACAAGCATAACACATATAGCAAATAAAATGTAGAATGTCTTCTATAGGTCTTTAAACAACGACTTCGAGCACGCGCTCTTTATTTCCTGCTTCTCATGATATCTATAAAGCAATAAATGTTAAAATGAGGTAAACAAGAGAAAATACCAAACAAATATCAATCTGTAGCGAAGCGTATCAAAACAAAGAAACCCGACGATCTTCGCGAAAGCTACACAAATCGAAGAAAAGAGTCATAAATCAAATGCTCGGAATAAGTAACGATGCCTCATCAATGTGAAAATAAATTACAATCAAAATCTCAAGCGCATCCACATATCACAAAATAAACCTGCATAAGATTCCAGATCTTGACAAGCAACAGTGAGTCACGAAACATCAAGTAACAAAACGATTACTAAACATAAATAATAAGCAAAATTCTAAAAATAAATCTTAAAAAAAAAAATTATTATATTCCCTAAAAAAATTAACAATTTTCATTTTTTTCGTTATTTTGTTAACAAAATTTCAAGAAAAGAAAGTTATTAGAAAAATCTTTAAAAAAAGATCAAGATAGAGGGACGAGGAATCGGTTATAGATAGGGATGTCAGTTTGGACCTGTTAATGAGGATCTCCGCGGGGAACGCCCCGTTCGGGGCCCCAAAGATGGGGAATTTTCCCCCGTGGGGGCAGAGATGGGGAGAAAAATTCCCCCGAGAGCATTTCGGGGACGGGGACGGGGAATACACCCCCCGCCCCGCGGGGACCCCGCCCCGCCTATTATTTTAATATTAGTTGTTTAGGCATATTGTTACTTTAAAAAGTATTATAGTTCATTTTGTTGAATTTTATAGCATTTTATAGAAATTTATAAAAAAAATATTATTATTTTGTGTTCCATTAGTATTTTTAATAAAAAATAATAAATGTCAAATACTAGTATTTTTTAATAACATAATAAATATGTGAATTCTTTGTGCTTTTTATTTTTATAGAAAATATAAACATTTAAAAAAATAAAATATTAATGAATAAATGTAGGATCTATGGGGATCCCCGCAGGGAACGGGGATCCGCGGAGAACGGGGATGGGGATAGAAATTCCCCCGTGACGGAGATCGGGGACGGGGACGGGGAATGAATTTGATGGCGGGGAAAAAAGATGGGGAAGTGTCCCCCCGGCCCCGCCCCACCCCATTGACATCCCTAGTTATAGAAGCAAGCAGGCGTTGAACCCAAGCAGTGATCCAGTAGATATTTTTTTGTGTGTAGATTAATTCACTTGTACAAAAAAGTCCACAGGCTTGTTGCAAACATGATTCAACCTAAGGCCCATTCAATCACCCATCCAAAGCAAATAGCCATGTTGACCATTCCATATTTACCAACACTTGAGAAATCAATAAAAATAATATACAAAGGGAAATATGATAAAATGATGCGTTTTTCATGAGAGGATAGAGTTAAAGTCGTCGTGACCTCTCATCTTCTGCGTAACTCCTTCTTCACTCTCGCGAACGGCGCGACCGGATTCTCCTCAACCTTCTTCAATGTCGCGTTCAACTATCTGCCACCGTCTCAAATTCCACTGACGATTTCATTCCCAACACAGTACCGCCACTGGATTCATACCTCCTTTTACTCACTCGAAGGTGTCGAACCCTCTCCGTTTCATCGGCGGATCAATTCTGATGTTACCCCACCATAGACGAAGGTGTCTCACCCCTAATTCCTCAAATCTTTCTTCACTTCAACGCTAGGGAAATGGATGAGCTACGACTGGAATCTCAATCGGATATCCTAGGTGAAGGATTCCACAGCTCTAATGGTGGTATCAATAGGTAGAAGAAGAAATGTATGCTAACAACAGAACATCGATTGGAAAGTTCAGAGGGTTTACCGACCGGAGTCCGTCCGATGCGGCATTAATGGCGGTTATGATGAGAGGAAACCAATGGGAGCTTCCGAATTCAGGTATGCTTTCTATATGGTTCTTGCTATTACTCTTTGTTCTTCTTCTTATTTAAATTTCTTCTGCGTGTATTGTTATGTTGTGTCCCGTGCGATCGAGTTGTAGAGGTTCTGAATTTTGTTGGTGTGCGTTATGAAGCAGGTGAAGATGAAGGTGCAGTTATTGAAGATTGAAGTTGATGAAGGTTGTTGCAGGAAGAGGATGATGATGAAGGTTTGAAAGAAAGAAGTGAGAAAATACTCAGATATTTTTCGGGAGATTCTTCTGTGTATTGCAGAGTGAACGTGATGGTGATGAAAAATGGAGATTGGGAGAGGAATAAGAGAGGATTGGAGAGAGTTTTTATGTGGTTTTGCGATTTTTCTGATGAAGTGAAGAACGATCGATGGAAGAAGAGAGAATTTCAGAGGGAGAAAGAGAATTGAAGTTCTGAGCTCTTGTGTTTCTTCTGGAAATTGAAGAATGGTTATTTAAGGTGAGTTTTTCTGTTCTATAATTCTGTTAGAGACTTTATTATTCGTAACTAATTCAGTTATAGTTAGTTGGAAATGATAGTTAGTTGGTCTTGGTTAAGAACTGTCATTTGTAAAACTAAGATTCTGTTAAACTGTTAGAGGTTGGGAAGTTGGTTAATAGTTAGTTATGGACTGAAAAAATTGTTTTGATTTCAGTTAGTTTGGATTCTGTTATTGGATACATTTCTATTATACAGTTAGAAATTCGGTTAGGATGGTTAGTTAGTTTGAACGGTTAGGGGTCAGCTATAATTCTGTTTTTGTGAAGTGAATGCTTTCTGTTAGTCGACTAGTTAAATGTTAGTAAAGCCTAGCTGAATTGAAGAGAAAATTTAATTAAAATACTAAAATTTGAACTCTGTTGGTTAGTTGAAAGCTAATTTTCAGGAATGAACAGGAAGTGTTAGTAAGATCTGTTAGAATGTTCATAAAGTGCTAGAAACCTTGTTAGTAAAGATGCTAGAGGCTATTATTCAAGACATTCAAAAGGTTAATTTAAAAATGGTTAGGAGGTCCTGGAAATCGAAAATGAAAGTCATGTTAGTGACAGCTCACTATTATCTACCGTACTAAATGTTAAATCTATTTAGAAAAAGAAGGGTTGGAAAATGTTTTTCAAACTGTAACTTAATGTTAGAATCAACCCTGTTAGCAGGTTGGTTGAAAGATCTGAAAGTTAATTGGAGGTCTTGTTTGAATAGTTATGAACTGTTAAATTCTAAATGTGCGAGACTGTATTTAACTGAATTATGTGATTTGTTTCACGAAGGTATGCAATGCTGACTGAGTTTTTGTTGGACTGATCTTATATGCATGTTTGGTTTTGTTCGAAAGCAAGGCATGATCAGAACTGTACTAGGCTAATTTTTTATGGATGCAGGGCTACATTGTGTATGCGATTTGAGCAAGCACCTGAGATACTTATGGCGTACAGGTAGTTCCATCTGTTAATTGACCCTCGGAGCTTTAAGGAAATCATGGAAATTGGTTGAAGAATAAAAATTAGGAATAGGTATAGGAGCAAAGAAAAACATAGGTTTAAAACTTAGTAAAATTTTGTGTATTTTTGGTATGATGTAATATATTGGAACCTTGAATGGACTTGAATGGACTCTTGAATTTTAACCTTGAATGATGACGGATATTTGTAAAAAATGATGATGATTTGTACTTGAAACTTGGAATTTGATGAATGAGATGTGTTTTGTAACCTTGGTGTAATGACTTGAATTTGTAAATAACAATGGTGTATTCTAACACTTGAACTTTGAATGAGGAGATTTTGGATGAGATTTGGATAGATTTTGAATAAGTTTTTCTTGACATTTTGCATGAAATTATAGCTCTTGATTATGAATGTAGTTTGAAATCTTTTGAATTTAATATCAATCTTCTCAAGTATTCAAAAAAGTGTATGCTTTTTTTCTCCTTCAAATTGAATTTGAATTTCACTCAATTGCCTTTGAACTTGTAATTGAATAGTCATCTCTTTGCTCCTGAAATATCGTTGATAGAATAATAATGAATATTGTGAAATTTGATTATGAATGTATTTGAACCATGATTTTGCAATATTCTTTCTTTCTCCAATATTTCATGCTTATCATGACTCAAAAGTATCAATGAACGGAAATACCAATGTACCAAAACTTTCTTCCAATTTGCCCTTTGACATTTAGAGGTTTCTTCTTGATTTTGCAATATAGAATGAATCTCGAATGAAACTTGAATTTTTTATGAACCTTGTTTGAACCAGGAATCTTGAATCTCAATCAAACTTCATTCCATGTTTGCACCAATGGATCCATATATGAAAGCCCCAATAGCTTAAACTTGACTTTGAGATGATCTTGTATCAAATCCATAATACTTTCTTGTAAAGCACATAACCAAATGAACCAGTCTTCTCATGATGATTCACAAAACTTAATTGTGAAGTGCGTCAGATAAATGTCATGAAACTAAACCCTCAATATCCATCCGATAACCAATAGCACAACAAAGAGAATCCTTTTTCGTGATTAAATCTCAAATACCATGCCTTGTTTTGAAGCAAATCACTATGCAAAATCCCAACTTGTGGTCGATGATTCTTGAAGAAGAACCTTCATTGGAGTACAATAGCTGAAAAAAGTCTTGATCTTTGCTCGCACTTAGAGAAATAAACCGTAATAGCTTTGTAGCTTGATGAAGAAAGAAATTCTCAATGACCCAGATCACAACCCTAATTTCACTGCTCATTGTCTGAATAAGAAATCATCTTTTATTGGATACGAATGACTTAACCACTGTGAAACCCTAATATCGCACAACCACTGAACTTTGAACCAAAGAGCTATATTGAATGAAATGTATGCCATGTTAGTGACTTAATAGAATATATGCAGATGAATGCAAACGTCTAAGCCAGATAAAAGAAATTAGGAGGGAAAATTTTGGGGTGCAACATCGAGTCCTTCGGTCATTCTTGGTTCAAGAAGAGATAAATTTGGAATATTGAATTCGGGAAGATTGTACTTAATTTCATATTCTCTAATTCATAATCTTATACTAACAAAACACTCGACTTCGTCGATTAGTTATTCTAATTCTTTGCCTTGAGAGCGAGTGCTTGGAATACAATCAACAGATAAAAGGAAATAAAATTGGTTGCCTTAGTCTATACTGCGTAACAAGGGATTCACAATATCAACTAAATCATTCCCCGACAACAACGCTAAAAATTTGATCGCATGACTGTAAGAGTCTATCGGGTGTGTTAACTGCAAGCGCACAAGATATCGAACCCACTGGAACTGGTAATCAAAATATTATTATCTAAAGATATTGTGTAAAGCTAAGGCTAATGAAATATGATTTTTGAGTAGACGAAAAAATAATGTTAAACTTAATCGAAATATTTAATAACGGGACACCGGTACGTAATAGTCTGACTTCAGGAATTCAGTGATTCATTGGCATAGCTTTGAGTATTTAAAACAATTATTCAGTAGAAACTATCAGTTTAAAAATCTCTATCTCACACTCTCGTGATTGATGATTCGGACTATATTATTAAACTTAAATGATCACTCTCGTTGTTTCATTGAACATTTAAAAATACTTTTTGAAAACAAATAGATTCTAATTAATCATAAACTTCTCTCGCTGTATTTAAAACCAATGTTTGATGACCACTATCAGGTTAAAAACTCACATTCTCGTGATTATTGATTTTAGACTTTTTGTTTGTTTCTTACTCTCGTAACAAAACAATTTGTATTAAAATTGGAAATCAAACCAAAAAAGTATTTTTATAAAATATTATGCTAATTTATTACCGAATTTCTTTGGTTGGTGACCTTACATACCGGTATCAGGGAGATTAGTCGGACATATTATTTGTTAAGAATACAAAACAATAGAAATCATACAATAATACAGGCATGATTGATAAACAAAAAACAGTAATAAAAAGAAACCCGAAATTAAATAATGAGAATGCAATTCTTTAAGTACTTGCAGCAATCCTCCACAATATTCCGGCAGGATTTTCTTGCGGAAAACCACTTGAATGCATAACAAAATATTAAACTAAAACAAGTTCAGGAGGCTATGAAGAAAATCTAATGTTGCAATATTTTCCCAGTGTAAAAAATTATTGCTATTTGGGTGAAGGTTATATCTGCCTAGGTTCTAAACAAAGCTCTGAATGTTAAATTGAATAATTGTGTGGCAGGAAAATGATTACAGAGTAATGTAACAAAAGTGAAAATAACAGAGACGAATGAAAAACTACACAGAATGCAAAGACTGAAAAAGAGATCCAGAGAGAGCCATTATGACTTTTTTCTTCTTTTATATCCTTCTGCCTCGTAACAAAACTGCTCTTTAAAAAATATAGGGACGTGACATCGTGTTCCCAAAAGCTTCGCTTGTGGAGAAAGACCAGGAGGAATTTCAACTTCCAATTATGCAGGTCGTTGGCATGGAATAATTATGGAGAAATCTTCGCAGAAAAATAAAATAGAATGCATGTTATGGTTGTGCCAAGTGGAACCAATGTATGCTATGGGGCACACATATTTTGATTTGTGCCGATCGAAATGGTTTGTATGCCGAAGGGCACAAAAAATACACTTGTGTCGGGCGAGACAGAAGGTGTGCCGAGGGGCACAGCCTTGTGATAAGAAATCTTCTGTTTTTCTTGTTTTTTCAGATTTTTAACTCATTTATTTTCCATTTCTTCTCCTCTTCTCATATAGACCTTGGATGCAATAATCACCTGAAACATACTTGAAAAGCCAACATATTGCAACATGATTTAGATAAAACGGTAAGTTTATTTATGCAAATCAGGTCGAATAAGCTATGTATTTTCACGTTATCAGAGTCTCCAATGGTCGAGCAATGGTGAAATGATTGAATTTAACATTGTTCATTTAAAAAATACAAACAAACAGAAACATGTGAGCCTAACTATGGTGCTATGATTCCTTAAAAGGGATTTGTATGCATATGGTCACGGGGCTCAGCCGAGCTAAATTTGTAAATATTTCCTTCTTTTCCCTGTGTTTTCTTTGCATGCATTCCCTCTTAGTTTTTATAGCTCTTAAGCATTATATTGAACACACCATTTGATTAGAACAACAAGAGTGGATCCCGTAGGGTACTACAGACGTGAGGGGTGCTTATATTCCCCTTGCATCATCGAATCCCTTACCCAATCTCTCGGTCGCAAGACCTTGATTTTCCCCCTTTAGGTTTTTCTTCGATGATTTTCCTTTAACTTTATGTGGAATAAATAAATACTCGATGGCGACTTCATTTATTTTACCGCTATAACCCCTTGTCAGGATTTTTACTATTTTCAATATATTTTAATCATTACGAAAACTATTTTAAAAACCAACTCACTCCCAATTCAAACACTTTTGCTACCATTATCCCACACTTTCTCTCTTTTAAGCCAAAATTTCTATGAAACCCTAAAACCCTTTTTTGGTTCTTGTTCATGGTTTATCAATGGCTTCTCAACAACAATCAACTTCTCAACAAGATGCTCAAGACTCTTTGCCTCTTCAATAATAAGAACAACATAAAGTTAAGGATCCTGATGTTCATTGTTCCATTCTTATGTCTCAGGTGAAAGTTATGGCTTAAGTGACATTGGACTTTGAAAATATGGATGCTCATGGCATTAATCTTTCTGAAGTTCCAAACTTTCAAGGATGGGAAACCTACTTTGATCGTTTGAAAGGACCAGTCTATGTACACTTGGTAAAAGAAATATAGGTACATGCATATGTATCCATTAATGATCTTATCTGATCCAAAGTTATGGGAAAGAGGATCCTTATCACGAAGGAGGATATTGCTACTCTCTACAGTCATGATGGTCCTGGAAAAACATACTTCAACATAACCACTGAATTTGTTGAAAATTCTAGAGTAGTTGCAAACATCTCAAAGAAAGATGCTGAAAACATCATCCCAAGTACCTTCTCAGAGATCTTAGGGTGTGGTTTAAAATTCTTCTGGGTAGCATCAATCATCGCTGCTTAACAAGTTCCTCTGATTACATGAGCAATGATCAAAAGTTCATGTTGTCAGCCATCACTACAAGTAAAAAAAACTAACTTGTCTGATTTGTTGTTCAACCATTTGAAGACAAACATCCTGGATACTCAGGGTAATAAATATAAGCACAAAAAGTATATTCCTATGGGAAGACTCATTTCAGACATTCTGCTGGAAAGTAAACTCATTGAATCTTTCAATATTCAAGAGGATATTACTATCAT